TCGCATTCTAGTAACTACGTGTAATTTATCCACAAATCATGCCTAGCGATGTCCAAAATTAGGCAAAACATGAAGATAACATGCGTTTGACAGTCAAATATCAATTCGTCAATGATAACAACTTGTTTGTGTTTGAAATTAAGAATGCTTTGACGTCGGGATCAGCATTGTAGTCTTTATACTCGTATTATAAATTTATTTGTACAGATGTTATTTTTCAAAAAACTTCCATTAGATAATTTATATTATTTTATTTCATTTGAAAGATATATGTATGTATGTAAATATGCATGAAATATTACAATTGGCGCAGCTTTACTGTTGTCTCTACTTCGTAGTGCATTTTATAATTGAATTCAATGTTATGAATTAAAATAATTTTTTTTTTAAGTCTCTTAAAGGTAACTACTGTAATTTCTTCATAATTGTTTTTGCAGCCCGTACTATTAATTTTTGTTATAAGTTTTTAGTGAGCCAAAGGCCTGATTTGTTTGTTCGAATTAAATATTTTTGTTATATAACAAAGAAAAATGGAGAAGTGGCAGCTGTTTCGGATATCACCACAACTACTCATCATACTTCTTATGGCACCAACGGATTTCGTCTTAATTTTTTCAGTTTTCATAAATGGGTTTGAATAACATTAATATTAAAAAAGAACAATAATATTTCTCTTTCGAAATCGATCCGATTGAAAATTGTCAACTGTGTATGTATATAATATTCGAAACCATATTTATCCGAAAAGTTTAAGGATTTTTTAGAAGAAGAACACAACAGAAAAACAAAAATGAACTACTTAATATGTTCGAAGTGGTTTTTTACAATTCACGTGTGGAGCTAAATTACAGCTAAATTAAGCATAAAAATATTAACTTTGATGTTTTTCTTGTCTTGGAACAATCATCTATATGTGGAATGTACGCGCTGATTAGTGCAGACTGATCTGTCTATCTGTTTAGCAAAATTCTGCTTTTCAAAAACAACAAATAAAAGAAAAGAATTTAATATTCAGTTAAGTAAAATTAATCCATTTTTATGCACTAGATCGCGATTTATAACTCCGATCCGAATAACGTTTCCTCTTCTTTATTGGCGTAGACACCGCTCATGCGATTACAGCCAAATATATAATATAATATTGCACCATTCATTCTGTTACCGGTAGGTATTGCATTGAAAACTTTCAGAGCTGGAATATTCGTATCCATCCACATGACCTAGCCACAGTACAGTAGTAGCAGTTGATTCGCTAAACTATGTCACTATCACCATAAATCTTATACAGCTCATTCTGCGCTATTCGGCGTTACCAATTTATTAGTCTTTAGCAAAACAGTTCTATCGAAAACTCCTAACTCCGACTTACTATATGTTGTCACCGTCCATGCTTCCGCACCATATAGCCGGACGGGAACGATAAGCGACTTGTAGAGTTTGGTATTCGTTCGTCGGGAGAGGACTTTACTTTTCAATTTCCTACTCAGTGCAAAGCAGCACCTGTTGGCAAGAGTGATTCTGTCCTGGATTTCAAGGCTGACATTGTTATTGGTGTTGATGCAGGTTCCTAGATAGACGAAATAATTTAAGAATTCAAGGTTATGACTGTCGACAGCGACGTGGAAGCGGAGTCACGCATGCGATGTCTGCCCTCGTTCACTACCAGACCTATATCCTTCGCTACTTTATCCAATCTGGAGAAAGCAGAACCCACGGCGCAGTTGTTAAAGCTAATAATGTCAATATCATACGCCATTGACAACAGCTGTACACTCTTATAGAAGATTGTACCTTCTCTATTTAGCTCTGCACCTCGTATTTTTTCCTCGAGCAATAAGTTAAAAAAAAATCACACGATAAGGATTCACACTGTCTAAAACTTCGTTTGGTATCGAACGGCTCGGAAAGGCCCTACCTTATCCTGCGAAGCGTTTTATGTTGTTTAAGGTCAGCTTACGTAGTCTTATAAGTTTTTCAGGGATGGCAAACTCAGAAATAGCGGCAGCTTCGTGCTGCCGAAGGCTGCTTGAAAATCGGCGGGCCTTTTCCAAAATTTGGAGCATGATGAATATCTGGTCAATGGTTGACGTACCAGGTCAATAGTCACACAGATAAGGTCCAATCAGTTTACCACAATATCAAAATACGCTCGAAAGGACTTTATATGCCATATTTAGGAAGCTTTTCCCAGTATTCCGTAATATTTGAGCACATATATATACACAATACGCTATATTCTACAGTTTTTCTTCGATAAAATCGAAAATGCTAGTCAGGCAGCTGAAAATTCGAATAGTTTTTGTGTTCCTGATGCTGTAATAGTCAATCATGCACAATTTTGGATTCGCAGATTTTGTTCCGGTAATGTTGATGTAAAAGATGTCAGATGGCGTGGAAGATTGGCTGTCGAAAATGTCTATAAAATAAAAAAAAATAGCTCAGGATCTAAAAATTGCACAAAAAATTAAAAACTTCTTAAAAAAGTAGAAAAGTAAAAAAATGCTGGATGCACAAGGAAGCTCGATGTATGGGTGCCACATTAGTTAACAAAAAAAAAAAAACTCTCACGGACTGAATTTTCATCTGCTTATCTGCGGATAGTCGAGATGAAAAGTGAACCACAACGAAAACGGTCGTGGTCGAAGGGCACTGAGCCGGTATAAACTGTCTCCAAGCCAGGAAGATTTTGCTGTGTGTTTGGTGCAATTGGCTAGAAATCATCCCCAGTGAGCTGTCTCTCTAACGCCAAACTCTTAAGTCTCTCTAAATGAAGCAATCGCAACGGAACTGTGTTTTCTCAGGAAAACGCCGGACTACACATAGATAGTGATTCGGCAGAAACTCCGAGAGCTTAGTAGGGAGGTTCTATGCATTCACTCTATAGTGCAGACTTCGCACCAAGGTATTACAATCTATTCCTGTGTACGGGGAAAGATTAGGGATTTGGTGAAGAACTGGCCTCAGAAGAAGTTTGTGAATATCGATTGTCACATTTTTTTGCCAACATTTTTTATATAATTTGTCCAAAATTATAAAAATAAATAAACTGCTGCATGAGTTGTGGCTTAAGGTTTCCTTAAAGGACGATCTTTTAAATATAAAACGTTCGCTCTCTTCCTTATTAGTAGATAAACTCTTTTCAGCCTTTGAACAAATTTCTTTTGCAAACTGCGAATTTTTTCGTCAAGGAAAACAGCCTTTTTGTATTCGTCTTCTTAGACCTGCATTAAATAATTGCGAAATTTTCGCTAATAAATTTTCAGACACTTTATGCACAAATCCCATTCAACTCGAAACCCGATGCTCAGCAAAAACTTCGGCAGTATTGAGCAGATCTCACGAATTTTAAAATACTAACTTCGATTTTCAGCTGATCAACACAGATTGCGTTCGCTAAGTGTGTGCAACGTGGAAATGTCGATCTCATGACGCAAAACACCTTACATAACTGCAGAAATAAGCAAAATGGAAACGTGCAAATGCATTTAATCCGATAAAACACTCGATCATATATCGGCTGCTTTAAAACTTATTTATTTCGCCAAAGATTGAAAAGTGGTTAGCATTGCATACTGCCATTCGGAAGAGCAGGGTATGATAAATGATAGAAAATTTGTTTTTCTGATTAGGGAGGCCACCCTGCAGAGAAGGTGAGGTTCCTCGAATGCAGTTTTGGCATGAAATAAAGGCTTCTCATAAAAATCCATCTACCGTTCTGCTTAGTATAAAATGCAAGTACCTCCATTTGTTGGCATAACGTCAATACGCAAACCATGAGTTTAGAAGTAACTCGTCCGAAAATCGATTTAGTGGTTGCAAAGCCCGCCTTCGTCCGGGTGGTGTTTCAAAATAGTTGTAATCCGGGTTTTAATTGTTTGTTTATCCTATTTATTTTAGAATAACATACGAATTATTATTTTTTACACATTTCTCTGAAGTGTAAATCGCGCTCTAAATACGATATTTTCAAATGTATTGGTCTCATACTCCAGATATCAGGAAAAATCGAACCAAGTTTACATTTTTTCTCATGATCCACTTCTTGGGAGGAAAAGTTTTTTCATATGCGAATATTAATCTAGGAAAACAGCTATAATTTGTATTCCAAATTTATAGCATTTCGCACCGAATCTCCAATTATTTTTTAAAAATCATTGCCAGATCCACTTTCAAGAAAAGCTATTTATGTTTTAATCCAGGCAAAGGGCTACCTGTATTCCGAATATCAAGTAAACCAAACTGCGAAAGCAAAGTTTTCGAATAGATCGGTACCAGTTCTACTTCCTGGAAAGCACGGAAATTTTTGGAGACCTATGTCAAAACAAATCTCCACTATTAGTTGCTTAGGCTGTGGGCTGATCCGTCAGTCATTCACGACAAAGTCTTTTCTACTACTAATCAGGTTCTTGGTGGTAGCTCAAACAGTCAACTATTATATTTTAAGCCCTGATTCTACTTTTCGCTCTACTGTGTTAAAGTTGCTTAGAATACGAATACGTATATCCATTCCGATGTTCCAGTTATTTTCCCGCCTTCGCTGATATCAGTTGTGTGCCATTGTTCGTGTCACGACACTTTCACGTTTACATTTTATCATTTTTCCACTTATTTATTGTCATAAATGATGTATTGTTGTTGTGGTTGTTGTTGTTTTTATTTTATTTTATTTAGGGTAGTAGTGTTATTGTACGAAAAGCTTTTCGCGCTCTCGGCGTCAAATAGCTTATGAACACTGCCTTGAGAGGGGATCGGAACGAAGGTGGGCGAACGTGTGCGGGGCGTTAACGTTGCGCAGTGCAGCAATAATTTTGCTAAAGTTACTGCTTATGATTATTGCCGTAAGAATCGGTAGGGTTTATACATACTCGTATGTATGTACATATACATACATATGTTGTTGACTGACTGTTTGTGTTTGTATGAATACACGTGTATGTGAGTGAATGCTGTTGCGGTTCATCGCCAGTCGACGTCTCAGAATCATAATAATATAACGGCGACGGTGTTTCGATCAGATCGCAGTAGTCGATTTGACTCCAGCGGATATATACATTGTTAAGCTGGTAAAAGTAACAGCTGGAGTAGTAGTCTCTAAAACGCGAGCTTTCCATACAAAAATATCATTACTTGCCATAGAAATACTGGCATACGAAATTTTGTCGATTTGATGCAGTTAACGCGTGCTTAAACCTTTAAAAGCACTTTTTAACGCTTTTTAAAACTCGTAAGCTAAATTTCAGATAATTGAGTTACCGTTTTCTAAGCGGGTAATAAGCAAATCAGTGATTCTGTTGTAGGTGTAAAGATTTGAATACAATCAAGCCTGTGATATTTTTAGTGCCTTCTTCTTACAACAAAAGTGGTGATAGTCAATTAAATTAGTTTCAAATTCTATTCAAATTCCTTAACGAAAATGTATAGAATAATAAAATTAATATGCGCGTGTGCGTTACTATGTCAATATGTCAGAACGGCATCAGTAGTGCCTCAGTCAGCTATTCATGCATTGAATTCAACTGATCTTGGTGTGGAATTTGTGCCGCTGGAGGCATCCACAACTGAGAAGGCTGATAAAAGTTCCCCCGCTAAGAAGACAATTGAGGGTAAGTGATTGTATATTAGATACATACATATGTACATATGTATGTGTAAACAATTCGACCAGAAGGAAATGTATAATGTAAAAAAAAATTCATTTTATTATATTTACTGTAATAAATGCTTTTACATATTGTAAATAGAGAAGCCAGTAGTTTCAATTTACCTTACTTACATAGTACATATTTACATATTGGAATTCATAATGTTTATGGAATGCTTAAAAAAAAATTAAGTTGAGAACAGAAAATAACGAAAATAAAATTTTACAGCTTTTTCCAAGGCAAATTCATACACGGTATCTATGTATTTTGTTCGTGTAATTATGGTTTGGAAAAGTTAAAAACGACAATCGTTCAATGTATTTTGTTTGTGCAAACGAACGTTCCAAATGCCAAAACCTATTTCTCATGTATTTTGTTTGTGTAATTTCTTGAATTGGAAGGAAGAACAAACAATCATATGTTGTGACAACTTCACTCCCTACAAATTCGCCTTGGCTTTTTCAGTAATTTTATTCGAACTTTACTTATTCGGTAACTGTTGCGATTTTAAATTGGCATTTTTTTCGGTGTGTTATACGGAAGCAAATTTGAAAAATATTTAAAAAAAAAAACAATTTAACTTATTTTTGCATTAAAAATGTAAAGAGAACAATTTTCTATAACTGAGTTCGAGCTTATTCACAGTTTGGAAAAGGTGTAAAAATACTATGATGCTCTCTCATGATATTGATGAAAAGAACATTGACATTTGGAGAAATATATATATATATATATATATAAATATAATAAAAATCTTTTAATATTTACCAAGCCTGTTATTCTCAGGCGCTTACTGAATTTACTTATATCTTTCAATTTATTCCAAGCATTTTGTTATCTGAATTAATTTCATATATTCCCGTTTACAAATGTCAAGAGAGTTGAATAAAAATACTCGTATACATAAATAAACAAAAAACATCGTTTTGAAGATGGTGAAATTATAAAAAGGTGTGATCAATAACTACGTGTTTACTCTAATTTTGACAGAACTGGCAGTGTTGGTCCCTCTAATATCACTAAAAAAAAAACAAGGTAAATGGTACTAAAAGAATTTCTTTCTGAAAATCTACACAGGCAACACTGTCTTTTGATTTTGAATTAATTATTAAAAAGAACAATTTTTGAAGTGAAAAATTTTCAAAAATTATTATTATACTAAAGAGCGCTAACAACAAGTTTCAGGCAAATGAGAATTAGTAAGGACCCAATACTTTCTTTTTGGGCCAACTAATCAGAGGCACAACATAATTTCATCAAAACATTGCCAGCAAAAAGTTATTTATTTTCCAACTATCAACCAAACCTAAGCAAAAATATGTTGTTAACATATTGATCGGGCTCAGGTGTACTTACCGGAAATTCATTTTCTATCGAATACTTACGCCATGTACCTACGTTCAGTGCTCTGGGCTGTAGATAGATCCGTCAGTCATTTAATGCAAAACCTTTTATATACTGTATATAGAAATATGTGTATACTCAGATTATAACCACTGAGGGGATTTTCATAATTTATTCATTTTGTTTAAATATTTTCCAATACATTTAAGTGCGAAGAGTCTGCTGATCACACCTCATAATAATTACTCCATGGTTTTGAGCGTTAAAAGTAAACAAAAAAAAAAAAACAATTTTTAAGATTTTGTAGTTTTGTAGTTTTTTAGTTTAGATATGTAGTTGTAACGTATCATTTTTTGTAAGTACATATTCACACTAAACTATAAGGGGGCGTTTTAACTCATAAAGCATGATTTTTTCAGAGCTATGGGAAAGTTTTAAAAAAAAATCCCAAAAAATTCAGAAAAATTCATGTAATCTTTATTTGAATCGATAGTATGGTCCATATAATTTAATATTTAAAGATTATTTCATGCAAATGTTGACGGCAACTGCGCCTCAAATGGTCCATCATCTTAGTACAATTTTTGCGTAGTCTTTCCAAAATTTCGGCCGGTATCTCACAAATAAATGCTTCAATTTTGTCCTACAATGCGTCAATTGGAGCGTGCTTGTCTGTTAGATATAACATAGCCCCGCGTTAAATCGCACGATATAGGCGACCTATTGACTGGAGCCGAACGTAAAATAAAATATTCACCGAACTCACCTCTCATAAAGTCCATTGTTACGCATGCTGTGTGGCATGTGGCAGCGTCTTGTTGAAACCACATGTCATGCAAGTCAAGCTCTTGCATTTTGTGCAAAAAAAAAGTTTGATATGATCTCACGATAGCGCTCACCATTCACAGTTACGTTACGATTCGCATCATCTTTGAAGTAGTACGGTCCAATGATGCCACCAGCCCATAAACCGCAACAAACTGTGACTTTTTCTGTATGCATTGGTAGCTCTTGCAATGCTGATCTTTTGGCTCCAAAATCTGCCTTTTACGCACTCATTAAGTCAAAAATGAGCTTCGACGCTGAACACAATTAAATTGAATTTAATTTTCTAAACCGATCACGCATTTTGATAATTAAAGTCAATGATTTGTAAGCGTTGTTCGTTTGTAGGACGATTCATGGTTAAATTATAGGCCAAACTGAAGATGTTTGACAGCGATACAAAACACCAAACGTGCGTCAGCTGTTCAAACCAGTGTTGCCAAAAAGATAATAGCTGAAAAATCACTCTTTATTTCACGGACAGACAGCAAACAAGTCTTATCATTCAAACGTTTTGCTAAATACATATGTCATTACATATTTTATTTTATGTTATGAGCAAAAATCAATATTTGCCCGCTCAAAAGATAGCCGAATATATGTATAGTGTCTTAGTATACATATTTATATTCTAAGCATAATCAACCAAGTTCACTGTTCCGATTACAAATTAATATATCAACTTTGTCCTCACTGAACTAGTTTTCTTCAGAAAATTAATTGCATATTTTCCGCTTTTAAAAATATATATATATATGTGTGTATATAATTGGAGCTTTATAAGCGCAAAGCTCCTCCTCCAATTTGTGGTTTTGCGTCTGGATGTTTTTCCAACAAATGGAGGGACCTATAATTTATACTAAGCCGCCGCTGGATGGCTGGTGGTTTTTTTTTATAGGAGGTTTATTTCATGTCAGATATACACTCGGAGGGGTAGACATTTTTTATTTAAATTCATTTTCTATACCATTCGGATGTTGGTCGCACGGGGATTTGAACCCGAGCCTTTCGAAAGGCAGTACGCAATGCTAACCACTCGCCTACCGCGGCTGTTATTGGTACATAATTAAACGTTAGCTAATTGGTTTCCAACCTTCCGCGTATTTAGTCCAGCCAGCATGTCGATTGACTTACGCACTCGAATCAAACTAATTGCAACTAAATACCTAACGCAACTCATTCAAAGCAGTTATCACAGGATTTTGTAGAATATGAAAATGCATTTCTAGCTATCAAATTGCAGATATGTATATATGTTTGCATTTAGTAGGTAGACATATGTATAAGCATAGGTTTGTTTGGTACAATTGCCACTTAACAGTATGTTTAGCAAAAATGTTTAAGATATTGCATGCATACTTGGCATGAGATAACAGTATATTGTAAGATTTGGATTTTTGATGTCACACGTGCATACATATATACATACACGTACATATGTAAGCATGATAATTAATAATGTGATGGATGTTACAATGACAATGCATTATCTCCTCGTAAATATAGAAAATTAAAAATAGTGGATTTTTAACATATTGACTGCACTTGCATTTATTTATAAACACGCCAATTAGTTTTTTTTTGTTAAGCACGTGATTTATAAATAAATATAATTATTATGAGTCTCATAAATATAACTTTTATTTAGAGCAAAAAAATACTGAATAATGTGTCAACGCTAAGAGTAACGCAAAACATCAAAGTTGTTATTATGTTTTTTCTTGTTGGTGCGCTGAAATTGTGGTACTTTACCTATAATTTGCGGTCTTAATTACAATAACAATCACCATAGATGCAGATTACTTTTTTATCATTTTCAATCACTATGGAAGAGGTGTAGATTCTGAGTACAAAATTAATGCTTATTTGAATTAAATAAAACAAAATAAATAAATTAAATTTTAGAAGTGAATTAAAATGAAATTAAATTAATTTTATATAATATAAATAAATGAAAAAAAATTAAGTGTGTTTTTGCCACAAATTTACTTACTTGAAAATACCTATATATAATACATAGTGTGTATCTATCTATGTATGTATGTATGTATGTATGTAAATAAGCTCCTAAGTACAATATACTGCCGTAAATTCGTGCTTCATTAGTTAATTCAATATACTTTTAATACATTCATTTGCAATTATAAAAATTATCAAGATCACGTTGAACCTGTTTTTTCACTTTTTCACTTTTTCAAAAGCAATTTTGTCTGACTTATGTCACAATTTAGAAATATTTATTTATATGTTTGTAGGTAATGCACATACTATAAAGTATTTACAATAGATTGCACTTACATTATATACTTTTCATATTTACTATATTTGCTAAAGTGGCACATTTTATGTGAATCCCATTGCTAAATTAGCATATCCAAGCATTGACATTGAATTTGTTTAATTGAAGTTTATATAATTAAAATAGCAAATACAATTTCGCCGCTTAAATCATTTGTTAATCCTATTTTAGTTAAGATTACTATTTATGCGAGTAGTTAGACTTATATGAATGAGTAGATGTGAATATTTATATTAGAGCTCTAGAGTAATGCGAGCAGCTCGATACTCGTTTGTTGCTCAACCGTTCAAATATTTATTATTTCTATTATTGTTTTTTTTAATAGTTCAATTTTTAATTTTTTTTTATCAAAATTTCTTTAGCATTTCAATAAATTTTTCACTTTCCATAAATAAATTTAAAATTATTAGGTAGAATTTCTAAGAAAAAAGTTAAAAGCTTTGCTCAAAATGCTAGGAAAAAGCTCGAGCTCGTGGTCGAAATTTTTCGAATTGCTCGAGTAGTTGTTACTCGAAAGCTCAAGCAGCTCGAAAATGCTCGAGCATAATCTTGAGCTCTAATATATATACATATGTATGTATGTGTGCATTTATCTAATTCTAATGGAAAGAACCTCACTACAAAATTATCCTCATACAGTTATTGTTTATATTAATAGAGTGAAACTGTAATATTATAACACAATTTTTTTCATCATTTTGATTGTAATACTTAAAGGATCAATGACGTCAAGTCGTGAACGATAACTTTTAACGTAATACGAATGAAAATAAAAAACATTTTTTTTTAATTATCATCCCAACTTTACACTGATAATTCTGGCGATAAACATAATTAAAAGTTAAGCCTTTTATATGTACATTATTTTAAATTGTTTAAGGTTTTTTAAATCCCTCACGTGCTACTACTAAAATGAAGCGCTTAAGTAAACAGACAAAATCCACAATATTTAGTGAAATCACTTAACTCGATACCTCAAAATTTTGCTCTTTAAACTAATTTACTGCATCTTCTAATGGAAATGGCATTATAAATTGTAATTGTAAACCTAACCACTTTTTTCTAAATAACGATATTACCGAAGAACTTTCCAAGTCCACTCGCTTCTCAATAATTTCTCTTAAGCTTTTCATAAAACTTCAGTCTGTTATCTAAGGCTTGACTTTACCTGTTTAATATTATTTAAATTTCAAACCGCTTAAGCTAAATTACAGCAAATGTATCTCAATTTAGACGTTTTCATTTGTTAAATTTTCTCACAAACGTCAGTCTTGCTAAATAATTCATTATTTTGCGGTTGAGTGATTACTTGCGACCGAACCCATTGTAAGCATAATAATTGACTGGCTTTTTAATATAAAAATTTAACCGTATATCATACGAATAATTATATGAATTGATTCATATCTATTTCGACTATGATGGATTGATTTCAGGTTATTTAAATTATCATAAGAATACGTAGAAAGTACACGGTGTGCCCCAAAAATAACCGAACTTTTTGGATATAAAATAAAATACACATTATATTATCTTTAAAAGTTATTATTTATTCAAAATAGGTTCCATTTGACTCAACACAACGTTTGGAACGATCAACCTGCACATGCATAGATTTTTTATGTCATTTATAGAAATCTTCTTCATTACCTCGGTTACGGCTGCTTGAATGGCTGGGATATCATCATAAAATGCTCCCTTCATCTTGGTTTTCAGTTTTGGAAGTAAAAAATAGTCAAATGGTGATAGATCAAGCGAATACGAAGGATGGTCGATGAGAGAAATCCCTTTTTCCATTAAAAATTCGAGCGATTTTTTGGTCGTCATTTAATTCATGTGGAACAAATCGCGCACAGACCCTTCTTTTCCCAAATCTTCAGTTAAAATTCTCCAAATAGTGTTTTTACTCGTATTCAATTCCTCAGCCAACATTCTCGTAGCAAAATTTGCATCGATACCAATGATTTCACGGACTTTTTCCACCAGATCAGCACGATTACTAGTTTCTGGACGTCCTGCTCTAGGGTCGTAATTTAAATCCTCACGACCATTTTTAAATCGTGTAAACCACGAATAAACTCACACTCATACAATCATCACAATAAACTTTTTTCATTAATTTTTTTTCAAGTTTGACACAAAATTTTATATTTGCTCTTTAATCCATTTTATGTTTGAACTATTAGCACACTTTTGGTTTTATTAAAATGGTTGTCATTTTTACATCTGTCATCCGACTTACATGATGTTAGGTGCGGTTGAAAGAGGGTGAATGTATCTTTTTAATGTAGCAAATTTTCAATAGATGGCGCTGTATTTTTAGGACACACCGTGTATGTATGTATAATGGGTGCTTTGTAGCCACTAGGTCTATTTACAATGGGCTCTTATGCCAGAAATACACTCGAAGAGCTGTGGAGTGACCGTAATTAGAATAATTCGTTTTCTATAGTTTTTAATGTTGGTCGATCCAGGACTCCACTTGCCTGATAATATTATATAATATATACCATACCATGCTTTTTTATTGATTTAAAATGTATAACTTTTTGTAATTCGCCACTCGTCGGGTTGAGAGCTAAACTTCCATGCATTCAACATTTTCGAAAGAAATAGATGGAAATACAAATTTAAAGCAATTATCATTATAAAATTCTAAGAGCAAAACTTCCTAAGGCCAAGTTGAGCTAAGGATTCTCTTATACGTGATGAAATAATCTATTAATTCATCTAGAGTTTCATGCAAGTAATTTATTTTCTTTTTTAATATTTATAAGAGCGAAGCAGACGTTGGAATGAAGTTAGCAAGATTTCAGATTTTCATTTAAAAAAAATATAAAAATGAATGTTAAAAAATTTATCACTAAATTTCTTCAAGTCTAAAGAGAAACTGGTTCTAAGTCTCGGTACATTTATTATTTTTCATGAAAGTCTTGAATAAATTAATTATAATACAAATAATGTTATTTATGTACGCATACATTATTGCTGATCCAATAGGCGAGTGGTCCGCAGTGCGTGCTACTTTACGGAAGGTCATGAGTTTGACTTCTAGTCATACCAATTTTCAAAATAATAAAAAAGTAAAATTTTACATTTAAGGGCGGCTCGGTGACACCCTCCCAATTTGTTAGAAAAACATCAAGACGCTTACCCCAAGTTGAAGAAGAAGCTCGGCCGAATGTCACTTCAACGGTTATATAATATATATACATATATATTTGCCGGTTAGTGGTTTTCCCACATATAAACTGGACTTGAACACATTATCCTACTACACTCTGCTATAACCTAACGACTACAGACGTCTGTACACGATTTTAATAAAAATAAAAATAAACGGAATTAAACCATAGCTGGCTTTGATTAAATATTTTAATCACTTATTAAAATTTGTTTATGAAGTAAATTAAGTAAAAACTGCTTTTACTTGAAGTATTGGACCTTATAGCTAATGTAATAGAAGATATTGTGCAATAGTTATGAGCAAATGCTTCCAGATCTGGAATTGGAATGTTAACCATAATACTTTCTCTTCCATGCAATGAATTCTGCGTTAAACTCTTCCAAAAAGTTCTCATGTCATTGGGATATTCAACAACGGGTGTCGAAGTATTCTAAAGTATTCCAAGGAAATGTATATAAATAACATTTGCCATTCCATCTCTTTTTCCCGGTTTCCCAGCTGGACATCTTCCTCCAGGTTAGCCTTGGTAGACACGGTAGTTTAAGATTTTAACTTACCATGAATATTATCGCGTCGTTTTACCATCTTACCCACTCACCTATAAAATATAATTAAGAGAGAGAGAGAGAATTACAACCAGATTTTATATAATAATTGGCGTTTTGTAACCGCTGAAGCGATTTTCAGCCAAGCACCTCCTCCAGTTTTTGGTTTTTCGTCTTGATGGTTTTTTTTCAACAAATTCAGATCATACTATAAGATAAAATGGACGGAAAATCATATATCCATAAGCTATATATGTATCTATGTTTACAAAGGCTTTGTTCTGAATGACTGCCGGATCAACCCACAGCTCAAGCCACTGGCATGCACCCGTTAAGAAAGAATTTTCTGGAAAGTGGAGCCGGAACCGAGCTATTTGAGAAAACTGAGTTTACTTTTAAATCTTTTTATAAAATTTGCATAAAATTGCTTCACAGGTATCTCCTTGTTTGAATTGGCAATTGAACATCGGGAAGTAGACCCAGAACCGTTCTATTAGAAAATTTCGTATTTACCGTTTGAATTACAAAAAATTTAGCAGAGTAGTAGCCTTGGGCGCAAATTACTATTGGGAAACTTACTCTCCACTAAATTAGCCTAGGACCAATTCAATGGTTCGGCTTTACTTAATACGAGTATGTGGAAAATATATATTATATTATATATATATTATATTATATAATACTATACATCATAGTTTATAAGTTATCATAATATTTGTAATATAATAAGACTTATAAAATTTATTAGAATCTTCTTAAAATTCCATGCGTACGAATTCGCGGCGAAACTCCAGTATATGCTTACTCGAGATCCTTAATTATTTCTCTATATAGATACGGATATACTTGATTGTATTGATTTCAAAATACTTGTACTTACTTTATTAAGTAATCATTATCTCTTTGCAGATGCTGCTTTTTGGCATGAAATTGCTATGAAACAACTTAGAAAGACCTTGAAAGTGGCTAAGAAGGCCCAAGAAAAATCTCGTAAAGCCAAAAACATAATAATTTTCATCGGCGATGGCATGGGATTGACAACGATAACTGCTGGGCGCATTTTTAAGGGGCAACATCTGAGACACGGTTTTGGTGAAGAAGAAATGCTCGCTTTTGATGAGTTTCCTTATACTGGTCTAGCAAAGGTCAGTAAAAATCGTTAAATATAATTAAATATATTAAATATATAATGCATTTTTGTCTGTGCTCATATATACATATATAGACTTATAATGTGGATAAACAAGTTCCGGATTCCGCTGGCACTGCGACAGCAATGTTTTGCGGTATCAAAACTGACTATGGTGCCATCGGTATGGATACGACCCGTTCCAAGGTGAATGCTAATCAGGGCCGATTGAAGTCCATAATGGACTGGGCGCAAGCAGAGGGTAAACGCACTGGAATAGTTACAAGCACTCGCATAACTCATGCAACTCCCGCGTCGACATATGCACGTATCTACCATCGTGATTGGGAATGCGATACCAAAGTGCCTGCCGAATCAGTTGGGAAGCATGTGGATATTGCACGACAACTAGTGGAAAATGCACCTGGTAATAAATTTAATGTCATTATGGGTGGTGGTCTGTCACCGATGGGCGCATTGCGTGCCAACGAACCTAACACGGTGCGCTTTGAGGGCGATACTGAGAAAGTTTGTACCCGAGGAGATGGTCGAAACCTTGTGCAGGAGTGGCTTAAGCTCGGCAATAATGAATCGCGGGTATTTGTACAATCGCAAGAGGATTTGAGTAAAGTAAATTTTAAAGACACGGAACATTTGTTGGGTCTTTTCCGCAACAATCATCTCACATATGCCATTGCTCGACAAGAGGGCGAACCGTCGTTAAAGGAAATGACTCTTGCTGCTCTCCAAGTATTGGAACGTGGTGACAAATCGAATGTAAGACATGTAATATAAGATATTTACTTTTTTTATATTGAAATTAATTATATTTTTAGGGCTTTGTGCTGATGGTTGAAGGGGGTCGCATCGATCAAGCGCATCATCAAAATTACGCTCGTGCAGCTATGCACGAAGTACTTGAGTTTGATATGGCTGTTCAAGCTGCAATGGATAACACGAATGAAAAAGAAACATTAGTTATTGTAACTGCAGATCACTCGCACTCAGTCACACTTAATGGCTATCCGAAACGTGGTGCAGATATTCTCGGCTTTGCTAATAAGACCACTGAACTCGTAGTGTACGAGACTATCTCATATGCCAATGGCCCTGGTTACTACGAGCATTTGGCGAACAACAGCGTCGGAGCGATTGGCGCTGAAGTTTGGTTACCACTTGAGGAATTTACAACTAACCAACGCATGTCACCAACATACCGACACAGAGCCACAATTCCTCTAAATGATGAGACTCACGGTGGTGAGGACGTCGTAGTGTTCGCAAATGGACCGGGTTCTGATTTGGTTCGTGGCGTTTTCGAGCAAAATTATCTGGCATATGTAATGAGTTACGCTGGATGCATGGGCCCTGCTAAGGATGCGGACGATAGATGTCATGCCGGTTCAAGTGGGACGATCTCGTTGAATAAACAAAGTTTTGTGTTTATGGGCACGCTGTTGTTGTTGCTAAATTTATTCTATTCTTAAAGTGAATTAAAAAGCGATTTATTGTAATTTGTAACTGAGCTGAAACTTGCTATTCGGCCTGTGTTTGTTAATTTTTGTTGTTTTTATGTTACATTTTAAATATTTAATGCTAAGAATAAGTAGGAAAAATTACTATTGTATTTGTGATTATAGTCCTAGGTAGGTACTTACTTTACCTAGAAATATAGTCGGCTAAAAGCAAAGCCTAAGAACACGTTATTTTCTTTGGGGAGATTAAGGGCTTTACTATGATAGCTCATGTTGGACTCCTGTCTCAGAAGCACAAGTGGACAGTTCCCTAAATGTTGTCAATTTGGAATTGAGCCTCTTTAACGCCCATCGCGATCTTGGCATTTTTGCCTGTCGAAGGGCCGTAAAGGAATGGAGCTGGAAGAACAGATAGACGATTCGACATTCTGCACCATGAACGATAACGTCCCTTCGGCGGACACAAGTGCAACAAGCGGCCCGCCGTCCACCAGCGCGACGCTTGATTTTTTCAAGGAAGAAATTCAGGGGGTCATTGCGAACACGAAGCTTTCAAGTCCATCGGATCCGAGGGAATAAACATACTGATGCTAAAACATCTATGACCAGTGGGAGCAGATTTTCTCACCCAGTCAACAGCCTCAGCCAAAACCGTCAAAAGTTTTCAGAAATGTTCGAAATTAAATTTATATCTCGATAACCTTTCCAACTTCTTCACTGCAAGACAACTAAGACTGCAACCCACTAAATCCTCGGCAACCCTCTTTATCAGATGGAGGAAAGAGTACGGGCCGGAACTCGATGGCGTTAAAATTCCGACTATAAACTGCCCAAAGTTATCGGGAGTCACATTCGACAGCCTGCATTCCGCATACGACTGTACTGCCGCAAAACTACAGAGCCGAAACAAATCCTCAAAGCACCGCCATCAGGACCGTGACAAGAAACCTTCAGATGTCGCCAGAGCATCACTCACACAGCGAAGCATCTATGCTACCAGTTCAGGAGCATAATGCCTTGCTGTGCAAGCAATTTCTTCTAGAATGCCAACTTTTTGCATGCCCGGTAAAACCAACTCAACCACCACATGTTTACTTTTAAAAGAATTAACAAAAAATGGATTGGTATGTTGAGTTTGGCGAAAAGATTTCATATCGATCGAAAACACTTGTATGCCGTGTAGGGCTCCTTTATGCTTAGTTGACGCACCGCTACAACAACAACACCGGTTGTTGACCTGATTTGGCAATAATTCAAATATTAAATTACAGGCTAAAATTCGTCCCTATTCTTGAATTCAGGAGAATTCACAATACCTGTTGTTGTAACTGCACTATGAAATATTAATAAATAAATGCTCTCCGCATATACGGTTGATTGCATACATTTTTTCAAATTTCATTGAAAATGATTATAAATCACGGCTTGAACCCTAATAATACCTTAAATTATATTATTTGGACTTATATAAAAAATTGCAAGGCAATTTACACGTCTCAAACAAAAAGTTTATTGCGATTTTTCATTAGCAAGTTTTCCATTTTACAAACTTTGTAAATTGTATTCCATCATTCAACTTATTACACTTAAGATCAAAACCCGGACACCAGTGATTGGTTTACAGCGCACATTTTTGCTATACACGAAATAATTATATTATGCTGCTTTTGCGACATTTTTCGATTCCTCAACATCTAGTTTTTTGATACGATTCAAATTTATGCATTCCCTGAAAGCCGCAACTTCACTAGAACATTTCAGAGTTTGACCAGGATTTGCACGATAGCAAGCAATGACTTGTGCCTTAAGATCCTGACAAGGTGGAAGTTGGTGAACGGCGGATGCAGTAGCGAAACGTTGGCGTACATCTTCTACTGCTGATGAGTACTCTTTTTCCATTATTGCATTAGTTTTTTTTAATGTTTGTTCCAGATCAGTCAATCGTTGACGCCACATAGCATCATTCTGCTTTAACTCGGCTTCTTTTTGACGCGCCATATCCGCGGCAGTTATTGTTGTGCCACTCGGTGCCACATAAACTGTTGGTGGCGATTGGTATACAACTGTAGGCGGCACTGCAGCTGGTGGTGGTGCTGGTTTTACTTGCACACGTTGAACTTCTGGTTTTGGAGTTTTTGATTCCGAACTAGAAGACGCATTTTCTTTTGCTAAAAGTAAAAATATTTCAGATCACTTAAACTCGTTTTTATTATTGTTTTACAGTGTTTAATATTAGCAATCGGCTATGTTGCATAATCATAGACTAAACTAACAAAAATTGATTTATACTCTTACCGACTACGTGCAAACTTATAATTGAAATTTAGTTGTCAAGTATTACCTTGTTTACTTATTCCCTTCTTTAAACGTTGCACCACCTCGTCAGAAACGTCGATAACTCCCGGATTCGGGTTGTCCATCGAAACTGATCGTGGTTCAGTAGAATGTGCCGCCCCCATTTTTCCAATTCCTTATAAGTCCTCGTAAATGCCCTAATAAAAGCGGAATAAATACAATTAAAAATAAGCAACATTTAAAATAAGTTAAACTAAAATATTCTATTAACTTACGATTCCAAATTTCCCAATTATAAATAAAAAATCAAAATTCATTAAATGCATGCAATCAGCAATGTCAAAATCAGCTGGTTTCTACAACGAAGCCAGATCGTATGAATTTGATACAACTCTACTGCTGCCACCAGCCGTCAAAGTGATAATCTGACATTTGATATTGTGCAAAAGATTTCAAGCAATAAGTTTCAAGCAATATCTCAAGAAATAAATTACCAAATTCAAACAAATGGTTGTTCGAGATAAAATTTGCTTGAGAATTCGGATAAAATGGCAAAAAGCATGAGCCAGTAAAGAAAAATAGAAATTACACTTTATTGATGCAAATCTTACTGTGCTCCCCGTCACTTCATTTTTGATTGCGTTACATTATCCTTAGTGCTATTCCGTAACGCTAAATTAGAAAAAGGTTACTTTTTATTGTTTTGCAATCGAAAAATTGTGAGATGTATGCGATCAACCCTTGAAAACGCGCATTGCTAGCATGCATAGTTCAGTAGAGAACTCGGTAGTGATAACATTGGTGTCAACTGAAGCTGGATGTCTTCAGGAGAATAAACTATGTGATTAGGTGAATTATACAATTAGTTAGCTACGTGTTTAGAGAGAGTTAGTAGATTGTGAGCTTACAATAAAAAAGCAGAAGAGCAAAATTTGGTGACTTTTTTTTATTAATCATTAGATCGAATTTGGAGTGCACCATTCCTTAGTAGACCCTATCGGATGCGTTGTGTAAAAGATTGAAGCCCATAGTCAACAAATAGATTGTCATTTTCCAGTGTGGCTTTAAACCTGATGACAAATCTATTAACCAGATATTCGAAATGTGTAAAGTCTGTGCGAGAAGAATAGACAAACTCCATATTGTCAACGATTTTAAAGCAGCCTTCGATAGCACGACAACGAATTGACTCTACGCAGCTGTGTCTGAACTTGATATTCTGTTAAACTTACACTGTGTCTTAAACTGAGGTAAAGCTTTTTCAAGGTCAAAAGATCCGACCCGTTACATACGAAGTGATATTTCAGGCAGTCATAAGCATTGTATTAAAAAAGGTATGCATACAACAACTACCGTGTGTATATATTTGTCAAAATCCCAGAAAATTTATAAACTTTTAATAATACATAGATAAACTCTCCATTCCTCTCTTTTTTAGCGCAAATTATATTCACTTCGTCAAAATTTTGCTTTCATGTTTACAAATAGAAAATCCAAGGAAATCGTAAAAAAATCTTATGTAAAAGCAAAGAACGTATATGAATATTCATATACGTTCTTTGGTTATAGTAACTTCATGTCGCTACATTCGCCTTGCTCCGTGCTGATAAAATTTATCTGAAGAGACCATTACTTTGTTTCGTTCCTTCTCATTTTTGATTACTCTACCACTTGTTAATTTATAATTGCCGCGGTTTAGTCCTTAGTTTGGATTTTAATTTAAATACGTAAATCATATTTATACAAATCTTCGTGTTAAGTTTGGCTATTTGAACTAAAACTTTTCGGCAGAGTTTCGTAATATGGAAGGAACACCTCGACTAAAGAAAAGAATGTCTCTTACCTTGGGACGACATCACAAAAGAGTCGGTATGGCGGATTTATTTCTGAAGTTCTTTCAATATATCAAGTGCGTAAATTATACATAATAGTTTTATACATTACAGCATCTCCAAAAATGTTAATGGCACATTCATCAGTCAACGCTTCAATCGGTAATGACAATACTGATTATGAGGAATGCAAGAATTTGAGGACTCCTAAATCATCGTCTATCACATCTTTAAATTCTGATGGTGGTATAGAGTGTACACCGCCTCATAAGAAATTTAATTTAGATGATAGTGTTGAATATTCTCCAAAATGTTTCGATGTTAGTTTTTCGCCTGGGTGCTTACTTTCACAGACCCTTTGCTCTAACAGCCCGGAAGTCGGCTGGAAATGGAATCGAAGATCTACGGATGAACAAGTGCAAAGTGCTACACCGGACTCAGCTTATGCAGCGGAAAGTAGTTTCACATCAGCAGGTTCGAGTAATACTGGAGTTTCGGGAACTTTTGGACGAACACGGAGCGATTCTTTAAATTATCGCAACACTTATGAAATGAGAAGGGAAGAGCAGCGTCGGAAACTAGAAATACAAATGCGACGTGCTGAGAAGATTCGTGCTGATGAATTGTTAAAACAGCGTTGTGCCAGACTTCAAGAACAAATGAGAGAATCAGAAGAACGTCGGCAACGAGAACTACAAGCTCAAAAAAAGATTCAGGAACAGCGTCAACAAGTGACGCAACCAGAATTAATTGCAGAATTGGCTGCAGTCAATGATATATTCTCAAAGGATAACTATACAACAGATGACTTTTTTAATGATTCGGAAACTGATGGCTTACTGCTTGAAGCTTCTCAGCAAATGGAATCTAAGATAGAGGAGTTAGTCCAGAATCCAGAAGTACGAAATAATGCAGCCGAAACAACTGTAGTTGTTTCAAAAGTGCCAACTGTAACTAGAAACGCTGGTAGTGAAAGTTCAGTAATGCTCAAACCATATTCTACTGCAGATAGAAGCGAAAAGCGTTCCTCACTCTATATGAAATTTCTTGAAGATGACTTACCCAATGACTGGTTCCTGGAACTCGATGATGTTATTTTAAAAGCAACACAAGAAACAAAACCACGGAACATTTTCCAGCGTCACAATTCTATGCCCTCAAATACCGTGAGTGTTTCTTCCAGCGCAGCAGCGTCAAACCCAATACCAACAAAAACATTAGCGAATGCTTCGTCTAGTACAGCTTCTTCCTCCACAAAAATAAAACGCCATGTAAGCTCACAAGCGCTTCGTCCATCAATTAACACTGCTTCCAGCTGTAAGTAAAGATACTTATTTATTAATTTACTTTTTGCATAACATAAGAGTAAATGTGTTTATTAAAATATTTTTAATGAAGACTTTTTAGATTCTATGATGAGATCAGATTTAAAACTTCTGTAGCAAACTGATTTCTTTGGACCTCAAAATAGTGATGTTCGAAAATATATTCCGTACTTTTATTCCTTTGTCATCTTAGATCGCGACTCTCAGCCTCATAGAAAGAAGTAAATGGATCGCCATTTTCTGAGGCATACTTGGAGCGCTCCGCCCGCGGGTATTTATATATAAGACTAATAGACAAAAGAAGCTAAAAATATTCCCGAACCAACAAAAAATTATACTCGATTGATTCAATGGAATAAAAACAATATAAACTTAACTATTACTATTATTTTTTTTTTTTGCTAAGCCTTCCTTTCACTTTCAGTGAATATTAATTATAATGTGTGCTCTTTTAAGAAATAAGTATTAAGATATTATGCAAATGTGATATAATAATGATAAAATTTGATAGAGAGCTACTTATAAATAATGATGGATATTGAAAATTACTAATTAACTAAGTAATTGATTAATTGCGTAATATTTAGGATATGTTTCTTAACAATGGAGTTATTCAATTCAGTCATCATCATTAAACGTCAAACGCTTTTTAGTGCCTGTTAGCAATAGTTAAAAATAATAACTTCAGTTATTGTTTAATGATATTTAAAAACAGAAAATTTGATTTGAGCATGGCCATATTTTTTTATACTCAGCATCACAGTATACGAAGTAATTTTTAATAATAATTTATATTAACTCTACAACGACCAATTTACAAATATTCAATTGCGAAAAGTTCTAATGCATTTTAATCCTTAACTTTAAAATACATTTAAAGCTGATTTTTTTCTCTTAAATAATTTAAGTAAATGAACTAATCATTTACAATTTATAAGTACCAAGTATTTCGATGTTAATAGTGATCACTATCGTAGTATTATTTTATTATTGTCAGTTGTTGATGTTGTCCACTATCGATAGCTGGCTATTTTTATTTTTTATGAAACATATGAAAACGCCTGGAAACTTTGAAATAAATCATATCAACTACTTATTAACATAATCTCTTCTCCAATCGTTTTGCTTCTCCGCACTCTGTGAATTATGCTAAATAATCTGTAAATATTTATGGCTTATAGCATTTTAAGTGAAAAAAATAATTTTGATATTTGAATTATCATATTATAAAATTAGTTAACTTTTGCATTGAATTTACTCGATGTTAAGGATAACTCGATATTTCAAAGTCACTTGGACACAGCAAATGATTACCGCCATTATGCGTGATCAAAAAAAAACTCGTATCATTATGCAAATTCAAAATTAAGAATAATAAATTTTTGTATCCATAGACAAGTAGGTGATACTTCTTAGTTGCCGTTTGATTTAGCCAAAATACATTTGGCTAACACTATATTTTATAATAACCATTATTTTTAGGCTTAAGCAAACTATAAAATACTTGTACGAAAAAAGTGCAAAAAAAAAAAAAAAAGGAAAAATGACTAAAGTTCTAGGTGAAAATTTTTTTAACTTCCGCAAAAAAAAAAACAAATAAAATAAAAAATCATGCACATAAAAGATCATAAAAAACAAAAGAAAAGTTAAATCTCAAAGTTAAACTAAGAATAACAATTTTTTTTTTGTTTTTATATCAAAGATTTTTATTATGTTTTTTTTTTTTATATTTGCGTACTCGATTATACTACGAACGCATTCATTCGATAGACTTATGTATATATTTATATATGTATGTATGTATACAACTTATATAATAACAGATTTACCGATTTTTGGCTGAGCTTCTTGATGCTTTTCGATCACAAATGAAGGAGGTACACCTACAGTTTTTAGCATTCACAACAGAAAAGCGATTGCATCTACAGAGCAATAAAATGCGTCGAATTTTAAATATGATTTCGACCCCTAACTCACAATTGCTCTTAGTTTATCCGTTGTTCTTGGAGGAATTAATCTTATTCTTTCATCACATACTCACCTAACAACCAGACTTTTTGCTGCGAGTTTTTTTAAGCTGAATTATTTGGAATAATTCGTATAAATCCTTTAAGTTAAGCATTTCTTCTTTCATCTAAACTATTCATAGTTACGAGCGAAAAATAAAAAAATAAAAAAAAGTAAATAAATAAACTGCATATAAAGGTGGTTTTATTGTGTCAGCGGGTTTTTAATTTCAAAAAGAGTTATCAAGATTCACATATTTTCAATTTATTATTATTTAAAAAAAAAAAAATTGCAATTATGGAACGCAATCAAAATAATAAAATAATCATAAAAAATAAATTGAGAGCTTTGTTGCTGTTGTTGTAGCGGTTGTTCGAATTCCGCTTAGGGACGGGCCAGCTAGTCTAAGTTATCGAGATCATCTAACGGAAGTTTCAGGAAACGAGCTGTTCCGACGGGCTTGGAGCAGAGGGATTGAGCGGTTAAGGGTGTCTCTTTTAGGTGGCATGGAAAGAGGTGGCTAGTGCAGTGCGAGAGCTCGTTATATGCAGGAAATACGTTGTTTATGTCGCGGTCGAGTCTGAATATCCAGACCTAAGTAGCGGTTTTGGTAGACCTGTAGCACCACGTCTCGTTTCTCCCCGGTACTCAGATATGCGCAGCATAATTATCGACTGGCCGGCCAATTGCTTTGTAAGCAAGCTTAGAAGCAGCTACCAGGTGCCACCGGCTAGCGCTTTGCGGGGTGAAGGAGTGCAGGCTATCGAATGCGACTGCCTGCAACTTTGGTGTTGCTTATGGTCGGTTGTTTATGACGCCATCGACGCTCCCAAAGAGTTCGAGCCTCTACTTCTTCGTCCAGCTGGTGAAAAGGGTAGCCGAGGATTTGCTCGGCTATATTGGATGTAGTCTTGTAGCGTAGAAGTGTGATAGGTCGTCAAGATAGCCGTTTATTTTCGAACAAAGATCATCAGTATTCTGGCAAGACGACAATATCGAGCAATCAGCGCCATAAGAATTCAAGGGAAGCCCACCCTGCGAAACCATGTGTTTCGATGTTTGACCTCGAAATTTTATGAATAATTGACAACCACTCCGGCAGCCCATGATCCACCTCCTTAACCCGGCGGTAATGAAGATTCTTCAATGTTTGATAGTACAGTGTCAAAAGATGCAGATTCAGTGCTACAGGACAGTTCGCGCACAGTGCTGGTTTTGGTTTAGGTCATTTATTACCTCAGTGTTTATGTCGTTAAGTGCTGTTGTGGTACTGTGCACTTTGCGGAAGCTATGCTGGACTCAAATGGTGAGTAAAAGTCGAAAGCAGTAAGCCTCAAGAGTCTTCTCTACTGAGAATATTGACTTCTTTTCTTAATTGTTCTTTTTTGTGGATTGTGTAGGACGAACGCTAAGCCTCTTGTTTGCGGTCCTTGCGGATAATGTTATATCCGGTCCGGCTCAGACGATTCGAACGGGTGGTCCACTTTGTTTTCTGGAGAGCAGCAATTGACAGGTGCTCGCGGCACACATAATCGACTCATGTCTTGCTGTGGGGAGCTCCGGAGAAGTGCTGAAGCCACTGCTATTGAGACTGGGAGCGTATTTCAACTCTGGTAACATGGGGCCGCATAACGTGTGGACCATTCCTTGCGTGCTTAATGGCCTGAGCAGACCAACCACTGCACTGTTTACATCTAGCGGTGATGGAAGAGTGGTGGAGTCTTTTGCGGTAAATGGAGAAATGATCTGTCGCACCACGCACGTTACTAACCACATATTTGCAAACTCCTTAAACCCGTCGAAACATCTCGTTTCCTTGACTTACTCTTCAAATGACTTGGACGAATCTCGCCTGCTTCTAAGTCTGTCTCACACGCTACAACAGAAACAACAACAAAAACAATGTTCTCAATTCGTAGCGGACATTTTTTTATGTCTGACAATGCTTAACTTTTTAAAGAGTGTTCGGATGCAAGAAAGGATTTAGCTGGAAATTGGATTCAGTGATTGATTGAAAAAAAAAAACATTAACCAGAGGGATAGAAAAGGGGAAGGCGATGATTCATTGAGTTTAACATACAAAAACACGCTTCTTCCGTTGCAACGTGGTCCAATTGGGAAAATTCTTCCTTCAATAGAATCAAAGCATTTCGAGAAAAGGAGGGGCGATCGCATATAGAAAAATTTGTTTTCAGTAATTTTTGGATGTTGGACTTCAACATTGGCAACAAATAATGTAAGCTAAACCACTACCTAGGCCCATCGGTAAGGAAATACTCGACTTGATAGACTCTGAAATGAAAACTAGAACTGCACCGCAGAAGGTGACGGCATACCATCCCCCTCTGATGGTTAGGGGATCAAGAATTTACCCGTGCTAAGGCATTCCGTTCTTAAGAGGCGACTAATATCGACAGTCTGGTCTTTATACCGGAACAACTTGGATTTTTATCCGGCCAAAGACTCACTTCCTCAATTCGTTTTCGGGGAATATTTTGCAGTGACAACAATATCAACAACAACAACAACACGGCATACCGCGAGGCTTTAAACGAGAGACCCTAGCACTAGCAATACTGGTACAGTTAAAATTTGGATATTATAGTCGACTTAACACCTACCTATTCAGACTTGAGCCCGACATATCCAATGCATTCCCTGCACACCTACCTATTCAGACTTGAGCCCGACATATCCAATGCATTCCCTGCACACCATGAGTTTGCGTAGGACGCTAACCACAACTTTGCATGACCTCTAAAACTAACTCGGCTGAAACCTATCTCCCTCTTATCCGAAAAGCTCGTTTCCTGGACCTCTTGTTAGATGACACTGTTTATTTAAATTTTTTTTGTCGGAGTTTCATAGCTGCTACAACAACAGCTCGTGGTTTGCTTTTATACGTTAAATTTTAAAGATGTTTTAATTTCTTATACGAGTATGTTACCTGAGTCTGTATATATGTATGTATGTTTTTCTAAGTCAGTTAGAAAATCTAAAATCATTTCTCTATTCCAGCGCAGCAGCTACATGAATATCACACAAGTCACTGCAAAGGAATTGTGTACAAAATTTTAAGAAGTCAAAATCGGGCACAGCGCCCTTGTAGATGCCGTGCTTTTGGCTTCCGAAACGTGCGATCGTTTTGAATTATGCTTTTTGCCATGTTTATCAAATATTTAAACAAAATAAGTATTGCTTCAAATATTTTCAATCGTTTTTAAAACTCATTTTTGAATTGTTGTTTGAATATGTATGTTGTTGCTTTATGATAATGTTATTACTGTAATTCTCCCTTAAATTTGCCCTTTATAATTTTTTCCTAATTATCATTGTAATTGTTTGTTGATTATACTCCTATAGTAGACAATAGTTCTGGTTATCTAATTTTATAATATTATATTATATCAATAACGTTGAATATATGTAATAAGTGAGTGAGCATTAATTTACGCTCTGCGCATGCTCGAAGTTGTTTTTACTATTTTGGTGTTGTTGATATCATTTAAGTGTTCCATCATTGGTCACGCATCGAAGTCGACTAAAACTGCCATATGTTCAGATTTTCTTCCAGCACACGCCGACGCCAAATCCATACACAAACACATATAAACGTACACAGTTGTTATTCCATATTAATTCACTGATAAGCACAAATCAGCGCCGCCAATAAAGTTGGCCCTTCTTTTATCGCAAATCGCAAATCGTTTATTTTAATTGTGATTGCACAAATTATGGGAAAAGCCGGCCATAAAGACATTTGCTACTGAACTTATACATTTTATACTTTTTCATACCAACCGACTACCCACTGAGTTGCTAGTTGGCTGTACGAGTGTGTATTCATATTTACTCACATTTGTCATTAATATTGTTTGTTTGTACTACGAGTATTTGCACCATTGGATATTCGCTCAAATTGCTGGGATGGGCAGAGGTGCATTGGACGCTGTCGGTAAGCTGTCTCTTTTTTTTCTTATCTGTCTTTTGACGTCACTACACCCCACTCCCCACGCTGCTTATAGATATTTGTTAAATGTATCCATACAAATGTGTGTGTATGTAACTGCCACTTTACTCGGCCACTTCTAGACAAAAGTGTCAGCATATGTTTAGATTTTATTGTGGAGGAAGTTGAATACTGATTTCAGCAATTCATTTGATAAAAGGTTGAAAATAAATTGATGCTGCGAAAGATAAAGTCTTTTCGATCATTAGTTAGCGAATGCTGCCTCACAGCTGATGCATCACACATTAGTTCTATTATTGAAATCATTTAATCTTTGTAATCAACAATGAATTTGCGTTCGCTGTCTATAAAAATAATCTAGATAGGAAATGAATTTTTATTTAATTCTCACATTTAGATATTTACAAAAGAAACGCATTGTTTTAGTGAATATAAGAATTCAATAAAAAAGACCAAAGTACGATGGAAAGTAAAATTGTTATATATTATCTATATAATATCTATATATAATTGGCACTACGAGGTGTGTTCAAAATTATTTATTTATTCATGAATATCTATTTTGTCCCCTTCAAAGTAATCCCCATGAGATATTATACATTTGTGCCAACGGTTTTTCCAATCTTCGAAGCACTTCAAAAAATCATTTTTTTTATCTTGTTCAGCACCTCCTTCGATGCCGTCTTTATCTCGTCAATCGTAGCGTAACGTCTTCCTTTCATGGGCCTCTTCAGAGTTTAGGGAACAAGAAATGGTCTCCGGGAGCCAGATCTGGGGAATACGGTGGCAGGGGCGTTATCGTGGTGCAAAAGCCAATTTTTGTTCTTCCACTAAGCCGAGAGTTTCTGGCGGATTGCTTCGCGCAAATTGCGCATAACTCGCAGGTAATATTTCTTATTGACCGTTCTACCCTGTGGCAAGAACTCATGATGAGCCACGCCCCTGCAATTATTTTTTTCGTCTGTTGTTGAAGTGCTCGGGCGTCCGGCACGCTCTTCGTCGTTCACATCTTATCGGCCTTCTGAGAACATTTTGTACCACCGATAAACGTTACTTCGGTCCAAGGTAGCTTCTCCGTAAGCCACAGTCAACATTCGGAATGCATCCGCGCACTTAATTTCGTTTTTCACACAAAATTTGATACAGGTTCTTTGATACATTTTTTTGAAGACCATCCAAAACACTTGCAAGCAAAGCTGCTGTCAATAATTAAGTGAACATTCAAAATGGTCGAGCTTGTCGGCATAAGTGACAGACATGAGTACCAACATAACGCCACAAAAAAATCGAAACTCGCGAAAATTGAAAAATTCGCGATACTTTTTGAACACACCTTGTATGTAACCGCTAATGCGTTTTTTGGCCGAGCTCCTCCTCAAATTTGTGCTTTTGCGTTTTGATCTTTTTCAAACAAATGGAGGGACCTACAGTTTATACTAAGCCGCCTCCGGCCGACTGCTGGTTTTTTATGAGGAGCCTTTATTTCATGTCAAATTCACTCGGAGGGGTTGACATTCCCGGCCGAGGGGTGACCGAAATTACAAAATATATTTTAATTTTTATTTATTTATACATTATTTTTATTTATTTATACATTTTGGATGTTGGTCGTAGCAGGATTTAACCCCGGGCCTTCCGAATGGCAGAATGTAATGGTAACCACAGTTATAGTTTGAGTTATTGTAACATATCTCTATATGACCATGCCACAAGTGTTCTTATTCTGTAAATTAAACAGCATGCCATTGCTTTTGAGGCCTATCTTCTTCTTCCTGATTACTTTCGTAGACATCGTCTCAGCGATTATAGCCGAGTTAACAACATTGCGCCATTCGTTCATCTTTTCGCTGTTTGGCGCCAATTACGTGGTTTTGTAAACTGAGTGCATGTCTTCTTCTTCCTTTGCTACTACCGGCGGGAACTGCATTGAGAACTTTCAAAGCCAGAGTATGCGTAGCGCAGCTATTGTTTCTTGATTCACTGAACTGTGTCGATGTCGGTGTATATCTCATACAGCTCATTATTCCATCGTCTACTGTATTCCCCATTCCCAGCTCGTAGAGGACCATAAATCTTACGCAAAGCACATTTCTCTCGAAAACTTCTAACGCCGACTCATCAGATGATGCCATTTTCCATGCTTCTGCGCCATTGGCAGGACGGGAACGAAGAGAGACTTATAGAGTTTAGTTTTCGTTCAGCAAGAGAGGGCTTTACTTTTCATTTGCCTACACAGTCTAAGTAGACAGGAGATATTTCGTCTAGCTGTCGTTCACTACTAGACCCATATCTTCGATTTCTGGCGGTGCTGAGCATACTATTCGCAACACCATCACCCATCTTTCGTTATTGGATAATATTCAATCGAAAAGAGCACATCCAGCACACAGTGAAGAATATATAGCGCCCGTAGCTAATGTGGTTTCTGGATCGGTGGAATTATCGGTCCATATTTCTTCAAAAATGATGCCGGTGAGAACGTAACCGCCAATGGGGAGCATTATCGCGCCATGATAACCGACTATTTGGCGCCTGAAACTGACGCTCGTTATTTAGGCTATATTTGATTTCAACAATACGGCGTCACCTCCACACATCGCACCAATCAATGGTTTTAATGAGAGAACACCTCCGTGAGCAGATAATTTCACGTTTGTGGCATTCCTCATTAAATTTGAGTTTTCTGTGTTGTTTTTTTTTTTAAAGTAGGGAACCTCAAAATTGATCGCTCTTTATTCATACATATATGTTTTCCATAGAAGCGACTAAATTTCATATCTTAAATTAAAAAAAAAAAACAATTAAAAAACCCTATTGTGGCCTATTCTATGGTCTGAGTTGCCATTAGTCAAAGTAATATTATTAGCAAAATATCTGCTTCCACATCTAGTACAGTTTCATTCTAAAAAATTGCTCTCTCTAATAAAATAAAGAAGAAATGTTTACTTTTAAAGATATTTTGTTATTTTTTTCTGAAGTTTCAAGATTTATACTACATGCATACGAGGTATGACAACTAGGTAATGAGACTGATTCCATAAAAATCGTATATTTGAAAATTATTCTACAACTCTGCCATCGCCTTCAAAGTAGTCCCCTTGGGCAGCATATAACGATTCCAGCGTGTTTTTCATGCTTCGTAACATTTCCGGAACACCTCGACTAAGATATCCGCGAGTACCCTAGTCACGGCCCTCCAGGCGGTCCTCAATCGACTCAGAATGGGTTCCTTTGACAAACCGATTTTGTTCTAGGGAACAAAAAAAAAGGCAGGGTGACATATCGGTTGTTGTTGTTGTTGTTGTTGTTGTAACCGCAAAATTATTCCCCAAAGTACTTTTTGGGGAATGTTGCGCGAGTGACAGTCCTGGGCCGGATAAAAATCCGAGTAGTTCCGGTATAAAGACCCGACTGTCGCGGGAACTATTGGATTTTAGTCGCCTCTTACGACAGGCATGCCTTACCGCGGGTAAATTCTTGAGCCCCTAACCTGCAGGGGGGTGACATATCGGTCCAATAAGGCGGTTGTTGCAACGCGGCGATCAATTTGGAGGCCAAATACTGGGGCACGCTGAGGGCGGTGTGGTACGGCGCGTTGTCGTGTTGAAGGTTCCCGTTACGAGCGATGTCTGAGGGCACCCTGTTGACTAGTTCTCGTAATCTTTCGATGGCGATAGTAGACTTGATATACGGCTTGCCCCGGTGGAAGAAATTCTTTGTGGGCGATTCCACGGCTATCAAAAAAGGCAATAATCATCGTTCAACTTGCTCATGCGAGCTTTTTTGCGGAGACAATCCTTGTGACCTTTGGCGTTTGGTCTCCGGGTCGTATTGAAAAAATCTGCTCTCATCGCCTGTAATAACTCGATCAAGCAGCGCAAATTTCATCGCGACGTGTTACCACAAACACACGTTTACTCAACACGCTACAGCAGGCGAACTAAACAATATCTCAATGGAGAGAAGAAGGATGCCAGGAAAAGGGAGAGGAAATTTCAAGGTCGCAGGGTTACCACAATCGCGGCAATATAATCAGTCTCTTTACTTTATTGTCACACCTCGTATGTACATAGGTTTGAGAAAGCAGCAAAAATATGGTCAAAAATAGACGATTGAATATATATATATATGTATAGTATGTAAGTATATGACATATGAGTATAGATATATATATATATATATATGTAAAAGATGCGGTAAATAACATTACAAATATACTACCATTAACGTGGAAGAGAGGATGGGGGTGTAGATCGAAATTGGTGACGTCTCTCGACGCTAACCATCACATAAAGGGTGGCTAGCAGCAGCCGATAATGAAAACAACTCCATGTAAATAAATACGTATGCAGTGAAATGTGTATGTACATATGTATGTATGCATATATGCTTGCACATATACAAACGTACATTTGTTCCTCAGGGTATAACCACTGAAAAAAAATTAATATCTTCTCTCCAAGAAAGATAATACATAATATACATACATATACAGCTGTTGACAACTAATTAGAAAGAGTTTGCTCGGACATTTAACGTGATATTCAGGATGAATTCACTGTTCAAATATCAAAGACAACAATTGCACGCCATTTGGTCGAGTGTGGACGTCATGGAATAGCAGCACGCAAGAAACCCCTTCTTTCTTTAGAAAAACAATCGCATTGGTTTTGATGGTCGGAGGTTTGTTCGAAGACCCATTAAGCAAGAATTTAATCCTCGCTATGTTTCACGCGAATTGAAGTATAGTGGCGGACCCATCAAGGTATGGATATGTATTTCCTGTAATGGTCTAATGGTCACTCTATGGGATAAATGGAATTTTAAATGAGGAGAAATACGTCGTCGTACTAGGAAATGTCATGTTACCTTGGACTCAGGAGATTTTGCCTCTTACATGGAAAATTCAATAGGATAACGATTCAAATCACACCGCAAAGTTGACAAAAACTCCATCAATGCTTTCAATTGGCCATCATACAGTCCAGACTTGAAGCCTGAGGGGTGTTATTAGAAGAGTCGTATTATTTTTTTTTATTAAATATTTTCGTTTCTAATTAGGTGTCGCACAAAATTCAGAAATTTCACAGTTTTTTGTTTAAAAAAATATATCTAAAAATAAATTTCAAAACAATTGCTAAGAATATGATTTTAAGTTTGCTATAAGTTTAAAAAGAATAAGAAAACAATTTATGAAAATGCCTGCTTTAATGGGCAAAAAGATCATTAAGTGTAAAATAAGCATCGTTTCTAATTAGCTGTCAGCTGCCGTAAATATATATACATATATACTTCATATGTACTAAACATTAAATTTAAACAACTGAATAAAGTTGGATTCTGAGCATTGATTTTCTTCCGAATTTATTATTTTGTCAAATAATATATAAACATATACTTACTCGTATGTATTAAATGTATATATGTATATACATATCTACTAGCCAAAAACTGCGCTACACATGTGCGCCTGTTTATATTATATTTAGTATACACATTGCAGCTTCTTGTCTCTTCTTCATATGTCTCGGCGCGTTACATACATCTAGGCGCACCACCTACCGCAAGAGGAAAATGCGTGGCCACGTATACACCGCGCGCTCATCACACACGTATACACACGTATACACACAACACAAACCAAATATAGTGTATACGTTGCCGAGTGTAATGGCTTCAGAGCAATTTGCTTTGGAAAAGTGTACGAGAAGGGGAATGGGGTAATGGAGACGCATGTTAGCAACCATTAAGCTGAGCAGATGATTTTCCGCTATTGCTATGAATGAAGTCCACCAACCAAACAACACGAAGCTGCACAGCACAACAAGTGGGGTTGAATAATTATATGCGGACTTGACTTGCAGTAAATTGCTAGGCAACGGGTTTGGTGGGTTGAAAACAGCACGAGCTTTTAAAAGCTTTCTAGCAGTATTTGCAGATATGTATTTCAGTTTGCTGCCATTACTGTTGTTGCTGCTGCTGCTGTGGCTGTTTTAAATGTTTGGTATTCATTATGGTATCCCTCGAGCGAATGCTGAACAGTTTCGTTCGGTTAGTGTAGCTGTTAAGTTCGTTTAAGCGGTTTTTAACGGCAAAAAAATATTACTGTTTTTGAAAAGAATAATATACTTGAGTTGTGGTGGAAGAAAACTGTAAAAAAAATTTGTGAAATTAAATCTATAAAACGCATTTTTAATGCGAATGTTATAAAATATTACAAATTTACGACATTTCTGTTGCATACTTTCGGGAGTTCGATTTTTGCGTGTTTTGGGAATATCAGCTGTGTGTACAAAAGAAAAGAAAAAGTTTGATTTACGTCTCGCTCTGCTCTTTGTACAATCTATGTATGTATGCTAACCTCAGCAGCGAATTTTAGTGAGTGTCATAAAATATAAAAATATTTTTGTTCAAAATTTTTTATCAGTATCGCTTACCTGTTTTTATGATAGATTAACCGAGCGTTGATTGAAATCAAGTGTGAAAATAAAATTTAAATTAAGCTCACAACATACATACACAGTTGTTACTTTGAAAAGTTGAGAAGTTCAAAAGTTCATAAAGAAATCAATTGGAGATTTTAGTTTAATAGACGTCACCACAGGTCGGTCGTCAACAATAACACTAACAATAACAATAACAATAACAATAACATAAACGGTGATATTTCCTAGGAGCACACTAACAGCGGTGAATAGTGCCGCACGGGGGATAAGTAAGGATTCCGATTAGTGTGCAATGGTCTTTGTTGCATGGGGCAATCCTTCGGGCCTGCTAATGTTGCTGGCATTTACGCTGGCATTGCTATTCGTCATTAATGTACCCAGCATTTCGGCTAACAGCGGACGCGTCGCTCCTGCCACGCTTAATGGAAGGAATGACGTATTCACCAGCTCATTCCTGGTGCGCTTCAAGCGTAGCGTCGACAATGATTTCGCTAAGGAAGTAGCCACACGCTACGGCTTCGATAATATTGGACCAGTAAGTACATGTTGTGTTAAAGTAAGAGCAAAATGTGTGTATAAAAAAAGATCTAGCTAATATTTTTCATATAAAAAATCTGCAAAGATTCCTCATGTAAATTCAAGTAGAAAAAATACTCGCTTGTGAAGTATTTGGAATTTGTGTGCATTCTGTTTCGAAATTTTGCTGTAACTTTCGGCATTCGCCTGCGGGAAAAATCAATTTGTTTCCACTAACTTGCAACATAACAGCGTCATATTTAACCCCTAAAATGCCGGACTTCGGCACAACATCGAAGTGAGTGAAAGCCAACAATGTCATTAAAAGAAAACACTAAACAGAAAACAAGTAAATAAAGAAAATTAAAAAGCAAGAAAAGTTGGAAAGCGACAAACACTTCACACTCCCTTCAATGGAGTACATAAAAAATATGTATATGTATGTATGTTTGTATTGCGATACGCGTGTGCATGAAAGCTTCTGTGGTATTATATTTTGATATGTATATATACTCGTATGTATGTATTTAAGTAAACATAAACAACTATACATATAAAGATACAAACATATACTATATACTTTTTAATTTATATATATACATACATTTGTACATATGAAGTTATATGCATTTTTGTACGACCTTTGCAAGTTTTCACTTTATTCATACCCAGCAGCAAAAGGTAATTCCTTAGAAGCGAAATCGTAAATTGGAAACTGTGTTTTTGATGTTTGAATTTACTGCTGAAAATTATCACGGTGATGTCAAATCAATTGAAAGTGACCTTATTTCCTTTCTAATAACCATTTCGAATAAGGAAACAGTTTTGGTTATTGCAATACTTACTACTACGCTTACCAAGTAAGCGGTTATTTCATACACATAAATTTTTTTAATTATATTTGATTAAAGGAGCATTTCACCAACCTTTCATTCCTGTTCCAATATTTTTTTCACACATTTTAATATAAAAATTTAATATTCATTTTATTTTATTTATATTTCTTTATTTTTATTTTTATTTTTATTTTTGTTTTTATTTTTATTTTTGTTTTTGTTTTTATTTTTATTTTTATTTTTATTTTTATTTTTATTTTTATTTTTATTTTTATTTTTATTTTTATTTTTATTTTTATTTTTATCTTTATTTTTATTTTTATTTTCATTTTTATTATTATTTTTATTTTTATTTTTATTTTTATTTTTATTTTTATTTTTATTTTTATTATTAATTGTTTCTCTTACTTTCTTGCGAGAGACTTTGTGTTTGCCTTTGCTTTTTGAGATTCGATCTGCATTACCTCTTCGCTTCCAAAACGGTAAAGCCTCACTAATTTCACTGGAGGGTATATGTATACACGTATGCATTCATAAACCTTAGCTCGCTTACGTGTACGTGTGTGCTGGTGGAGGGGATATTTTTGATTTCAAAGCATTCACAGCGTTCGGAAATTTGTTTTGCATTTAAATTGCTTTGTGCGCTGCACAGTGAATTGTTGAGCATTCTTTTTGGTATTATTTTTTTATGCTCATTTATGCCGAGCAAAAGTTGAAAAAAAAACGAGGATTCCCTGCTACTCGGCGCGTCTGTGCGTTATGTGGTCTTTTGTACATGAATAAATTGCTTTCCAACAAGACAAAAAGTCACTTTCTGATTACATTTGCACATTTCTGTTTTAATTCTTAACAATTTCATTGAAGTTGAGATAAAAAGAAAATGTTTAGAATATCATGCATATAAATTAAATATAATTTCAAATGGTTTTAAGCCTATGCGCGGATCTAACGCCAGCTACAATAGGTATTTGGTATATAATTACATACGTACATGTGGCACTTTATAACCACTGAAGCGATTTTCGGCCTGGCTCCTACTCCAATTTGTGATGTGTGTCTTGATATTTTTCCCACAAATGGACGGTCGATTGATTTTTATGAGGTGCTTTGATTTTCATTCCCTGCTTGACATTCCCTGCCGAGGGGCCAACCGCAATTAGAAAAGTTATTTGTTTATTATATAAAATGTTGGACCAACCAGGATAGGAACCCTGCTTGCCAATGACATGTATGAATCTTGAATTTGTAAACTTTGTCCAACGGACCAGATGTACAAAATGATGCTAAGAAAGTGCTGATGGCATTCGGCATAAATTTTTCTAACTTTTCCTCCACCATTTTTGCATTAAAATAAATTTTATGATTCTATGCAATTCGCGAAACTCACTTTTTTTACTCAGACATTAATAACCTAACGCTAGAGTCACTACAAAGTTTAGAATCAAACAAAAATGTCTTACATCGTCAGCAATTTTTCGCCGAAACTCAAAGTTTCGATAGGGATTTCCGCTCTTCGTTTCGTTGGAAAATGAACGGAACTAATAATAAAGCACTGATATACATATGTTTATGTATTTTTGTATACAATTTTTTTAAATTATTTGCCAAGGTTTACAGAATACAGGTTACGATAACCGTCACCGTATCAACTTCATTATATATACAGTGGGAGTGACTTGATATTATATAAAAAAAAGGATATAATTTTTTCTTTCAAAAATGTTTATGGAGGTAAATATGGCGAAAATTTCTTAAACAAAATAAATATAATAATTATACAAAAAATATAATAATTATACAATTACGTACTAACGCCACCACGGCCACATATTTGGCCACTTTCTTATTAAAAGATGGGGCAAAAATTACATAAATATAAGCTATAGGCTGTGCAAGGTTTTGATCAAACCAAGGTTGAGGTGGCCAAATTTAACAAAATATTTACACAAATTTAATGCGTAAGTACCATTTTTTTTGGCAAAACAATGCTTGCAGATATATTATATTGTTACCTACCCGTTAAATTAAAGTTTTTCCTTAATGCCAAAACTTCAGGGTTTTAACTCAAAAAATTTTATCATAAAATTTATAAAATGAAACGGTTAACAAATATTCTATAATATCGCATGTTTGTTGTAATTTTTCAAAAATTTTGATAGAATAAATCACTCACAATTTATTTTTATTTTTTTCAAATTTTTGTACACAATATCCCACTGAACACTTTTTCACCGCTGCTAGCTTTTAAACACGATTTTTTCACAAGGTATGGGTCATCCATTTTCCGAAAATTTTTTAGCGGACATAGAAAAAATGCGAAAATGTCTTTTTTTTTTTATAAAATAAAATTTTATAATATTGCTTTGGATTGAATTTTGATAGATTTTAACATTTTTAAAATATTTTATTATGCCATTCGTATTACATGAATTCAAAAGTTAGAGTTGCTTGCTATGGAAATTTTTGGTAAAAAAATAATATTAATTTTTATAAAATAAAATTATTTGAAAACGAAAATGCATTTGTGCGACATAAAACTATTTACGACATTTTAATTGTAATTATTATTAATTTAAAAAATTTCAATGCAAGGCTTTAGAATTTTATAGTCAAAATGTTAAGTTATTTTATAAATAAAATTATGAAAATTAATTTTAAAATCTTTGGCAACCCACAAAATTAAACCAACTTCGTCATTAAACATATGATTTCGCTCTTGTCGTAACCTTGTTTTCTTTAAATTTTGATTGTTTGCTATTTCCGTTTTAAATTACAGTGATCTTTTATGAAGAAGGTACATTAAAAAATCTTGGAGGGATAGAGTGCAGAATGAAAGGAAAGCGCCATCGTAGCTAAGTAGTAAAATAATTTTACTTTTTTGTTGAAAATTTCGAGAAGTAAAAGTTTGAAGAAGAGAAGTTTGGAAGGAGATTGCCGTTGAGTTAAGTCCTAGTAGAACTGTCAAAACAGAATAGATCTAGACTAGAGCAAATGATGTTCGATTTTATGAGTGCTTTTGACATAAGATTACGTAACCACGGTTGCCACTTTGCTCGAAATTTATTAATTTCGACAGCGCTTGAAGCGCTCATTCATTCATATAAGCATTCCAAGTAAAAAAGTGAAAGAAAAACAGCACTGCCAGTTTGCACTGGTGAGGTGAGCCAAAAAGCTAGTAGAATTAGAAACGAGAGAGAGAGAGAGCAAATTTGACGTTTAAATTGGAGAAAAGTTGCCAATTCGTACTGTGAAAATTACATCCAGTAAAGACTTAGCTAGCAAATTTGATAAATAGCCGATACCAGATTATTTTTGATTCCTTTAATTTACTAGAAATCAGTGACCACCAGTTGAGCGATTACAGTGAGTTCGAGAAAGCGACGATGGTGCACCAAATGAAATGTTAGTCACATTAATAATAAGAATAATGAGCTCTTTTGTCTAAGAGTTTCTTAAGCGTTGAAGTACATATTTCTATCCAAAGCCATTTCAATCATCCTTTCCTAAAAACCTAAGAGACAATTTGTTGCTAAGTTCTACATAAATATTCGTCCTTTCAGAGGACTGTCGGAAAAATCATATTAAATTTATGGTTTGGTGACTTTGAAGCATGTCGAATTATATCATTGTTAAATTAATGTAATTTTCATATATAATAATACAATTAATTAATTAAAAATTCCATAATATATTATTGAATTACTTAAAACAGAATATAGAAGCAGAGTATAAATGAACGGACTTAAATATAAACGCCAAAATAATCAGCTGTTATGCAACTTGCTGGCTATATTTTTTACTGAAATGATTGCGGTGAAATTTCTCCCTTTGGGGAAGTGAAAAATTTTACTCTCAATTTCGTTACTAGCTAATTTTTACTGACATTTCTTACCGAACAGATCATTGCATTGGGAGCAAGTGGAGGAAAAGTTAGAAGAATTTATGCCGAAAGCCGTCAGCACTTTCTTAGCAACATTTTGTACATCTGGTCCGTTGGACAAAGTTTACAAATTCAAGATTCATACATGTCATTGGCAAGCAGGGTTCGAGTCCTGGTTGAACCAACATTTTAATTAATAAACAAATAACTTTTCTAATTGCGGGTGATATTCGAATATACGAGTAGCTGAAGTTGTTGTACCAATCACAAAGTGCTAAAAGTACTGTTAGGTAATACTTCTAC